AAAGATTTTATTATTTGACAGAGAAAGAGAGAGCACAAATAGGCAGAGTGCAGGCAGAGGGAGAGGGAGAGGCAGGCTCTCTGCTGAGCAGGGAGCCAGATGTGGGGCTCGATCCCAGGACCCCAGGATCATGACCTGAGCCGAAGGCAGCCGCTTAACCAACTGAGTCACCCAGGCGCCCCCTGTCCTTGAACTTCTTGATGTACATTTCTGATTATTTACACAGGATTCACAGACAAACCCCCCTTTCACATCATTTATCCTACTGATAGAATTACCTGAACAATGTCGGAGGTCTTAGAGATTGAGTGTCCTGTCTGAGAAGGTAGAGATGATATCTGTTTCATTCACTTTCTCCCCACACTGTGCCCATGGTTGGCACATAATAGGTGTTCAGTAAGTATTTGCTGGAGGATTAAATGAAGCATGTGTAGCATGTACAAAATCAGTAGATAAAGATTGATCATCTCATCTAGTTAGTATATATTAGCAATTTGCAACTATGATTTATTAATGCTAAATGCGTTCTTCCTTTTCTTTAAATGGTAACATGATCATGATAGACAATCATTGTTAACACTTTGGTATAATATCCTTGTAAACTTTTTTCCTTTGCAGTTATACACCCATATTGATTATATTATTTTTACAAAAAATGAAATTCTTTGCATATAGTCTTTAAACATTCATTTTCTCACAAATATTTTCAAGCTCCTTTTTTGATATTTTTATGAGTATTTCATTGTATGGATTTACCATTTTAAAAACAAAGACATACCTTATATTCATCTTGAAAGGGGTGATGTCTCATCAGAGTTTGCCACAACTACTAAAAGCTTAGAAGTCACTATTTTACATATTCAGATTTATTAGTTATTCTGTCTCTACTTCATAATAAACAGGTCTAGATATAGATTTGTAAGTGGCAAAATTATCCTAGGCTGTTTAGATTGGGGATGGATACTGGAGAAGAAATCTAAGTTTATGAGGCCATTGTCTTAAATGATTCTTAGGAAAAAATACTGATACTGCTTATGGAATATCAGCTCTCCTTTTTCACTGAATAGATTAAGGAGGAAAACACTTGACAAACACAACTTCTTAGAGCCAGTCAATGGCTACTTGTTTATTCCCACATCAAGTGCTAATCATATACTAACCCCTTATACTGATAACAAGAATTCATAACAACTCACAATTTACCATCCTTCTCTATATTATTTGTTGCTTTTTGGAAATCCCCATTGATCAAATAAAATCTGGTCTCCTTTTGCAACTATTTTCTCGAAAACCGCTTTTTGACATAGATAAATTTCATAACAGACTTTTTGATGAATGGCTATTATTTATTTGATATCATTTAAATATCTTTATATTGGAACAAACTATAAAACTCCTAGAAGAAAACATTAGGGATAAAGCTCCTTGAGGGGCGCCTGGGTGGCTCAGTTGGTTAAGCGACTGCCTTCGGCTCAGGTCATGATCCTGGAGTCCCGGGATCGAGTCCCGCATCGGGCTCCCTGCTCGGCAGGGAGTCTGCTTCTCCCTCTGACTCTCCTCCCTCTCATGTTCTCTGTCTCTCATTCTCTCTCAAATAAATAAATAAAATCTTTAAAAAAAATAAAAAAAATAAAAAAAAAAAAGCTCCTTGACATTAGTTTTGGCAACGGTTTTTTGGTTATGACATCAAAAGCACAAACAACAAATGCAAAAATAAATAAGTATGCCCACATCAAACTAGAGGGCTTCTGCACAGCAAAAGAAACAATCAACAAAATGAAAACAACCTATGGAATGGGAGAAAATATTTTCAAATCATAATATCTGATAAGGGGTTAATATCCAAAATATATAAAGAATATATACAATAGACTGTTTAAGGAAGTTGTAGGGAAAAAACAGATTCATGCCTCAAGATATTCTCAGAGGTTTAAAGGCAAGTCACTAATACAGATGTATAATATATAAGGAAGTTGACCATCTGACAGAGTGTTGCTTTTATAGCATTATTCATTTAGCACTTAAGAGGTCTGCATTCTAAGAAGGCCACCTCTTTGTATGAAACAAAGGGGAAAAGTTTGGTACTTGACTTTTGCAAAAGGTTATTAGAGATTTATTGCCAAAAAGTGCTGACTGCTTCCTTAAGTCCATCTTAACTTTGAGTTCCTATCTGGGGAGCCAGATCTGATTTAATAGTGTTAACTCACAGTACATACAGTTTACATAATTAATTAGTTAGGATTTATCCTAATACCTAGATTTATCTCTTTAGAGGAAACAGTGGGATGGATACTACATTAACACTGAACATATACCCTGAAAATAATTTTAACATGAGAGTAGAAATATTAATGCTGCTTTAGTTATCAGATTCTTAAAAATGATCATTACCTCCTAGAAATGTCTACACAGAATGTTATTGTAATGTTTCATTTCTCAGACAGTCCTTTGCCTAGGAAAAATACTATGTGCATCTTAAAAAAGAAAGACTATAACCCAGAGTTAAAAGGTTAATTAAATCAGAAAAACAATTTAATTCTATAACAGTAAAATTGTCTTCTGAGGAAGCAACCATCAATATAATATCCACATTAGCTTCCTGTTGATGCAGAAATTATTGTAACAGTGCCAGCTTTTTACCAACCCTCTTATAATCTTCACACTGCAGGTCTGCTCTTATCACAGCTTGTGGAATTAGACAGGAAATTTAGCCCTGGAAATAAGGAAGTTACTCCTATATAGTTGAACCTTTGACAGTGTTAGAATATATATCACATTTGTAGCATTAGACTTCCAGATTTCAAGGAGAGATTCCCATCATGTCCCATTCTTTTCTTTCAAGTTCTTTTTGGAAAGGGAAAAGTCATAAATTGTCTTTCAGTTGGCATGTTCATTGGCATAATAAATATTGTAAATATTTTCCAATTAAACATATAGAGTAAAGCCTGTTGTCAAATTCAACATTGTATTTATTAATGTATTTACTGTTGTTTAATCCTTTCTAATTTTCCTTTTTGTCTGCCATGGCTTTATCTCACCAAAATGCAAGGAGTTGATAAGATTTAAAATTGAGTTTTTTTTTTTTCTTATCCTCTTAAAAGCGTGTATAATTATTTTGAATATGGGTACTGTTTAACATTTTTATTTTGTGTTTTTTAGCTTACAAATTTGGAGAGGAAGTGGCAACACCATGAGCAAAATAATTTTGTGATGAAAGAATGTATCCTTTTAAAAAAGGCAAATGAACTTGACAGTGATTTTTTTTTTTTTTAAGATTTTATTTATTTATTTGACAGAGAGA